CGTTTTATTTGCCGATTTTTACTAAATATTACTAAGCCAGCAAAACAAAAAATAAAATAATTGAATAGAATACATATAGTACACTTACGGCTAGGTTAAGGCAAAATAAGCTAGCTTAATTCGTAATTGACCACAAATGTATGTAACCTAAACTCATTAGAATGAGGATTGAACCATGACAGGAAACCGCTGATGATTGCAGCTCTTGGGTAATCACCAGATTTTCGAGGCATGAGAGTGAATCCCCATACATTTTCTTAGAATGGTCCCTTCACGACTATGGTATGACTCGAGTGTATTAACTATTATGACAGTTAGCAGACTCAAATACACAGAAAATATAATATTTAAAAAAATTAAAACTCCGTAAAGACATTACTACGAATTTCCCCATTATCAACATGTTTTAATTTCAATGAATGAATTTACCTTATAATATGGTGGCTTCGAATGCTTTCCATTCTACTGGGATAATGTTTCCAACCTTCAAGCGATGATGAACCGAGTTGGCCGTGTATGCCCTCCCCCCACGCATAAACCGAACCATCTTACATGTGAATATTTAATTAAAATTGTGAAAATATTCTCTTAAAAAATATTTATTTGACGGAACAAACTAAATTTTACCTTTTAATTGCCCTAACAATCACTTACCATCATTAACAACCACAAAATGTGAGTCACTGGCAGCCACTGAGCGTATGCGAGCTTTGGGAGGTAATTGTATAGGATTCATGCCGAAGCTGTTGCCAAATGCCTTCAATTGGTATAATACTGACCTATTAATATACAAAAACATATACTTAATTAATTCTCCTTGACAAGTTATTTCGTGTTGTCTTTTATTTACTGACCGCTTGAAAATTATTTCATTCGGTATGGCAGTTTCCGCATTCATTACTTCCCTTTCGGTGCGACCGGTTGGGAACTCTGTCAATGCTGGTTTAGAATTCCTAACCTCCACACAAAAACTGAGCTCTACACTCTCTTTGGATGATTGTACTTCAGAAGTGATATTTGAAATGGGATTCATTGCAAGTATATCATCATCATAAGAATAACTGACGAAGCAAATATTTATAGAACACTCAATGTACATATGCACAGTGGAAATGTTTTGCCGCTTACCCTTTATTTCTTCCCAAATTTCTAAATATAAGCGGAATCCAATACTCCAAAATCTCAGAGGCATTTGGACGAAGTGAAGCATCCACCTACAGTGTTTTGGTTGCAAGGCAGACATTGAAAAGAGTGTTACATTTACATGTGTGTATGTATGTATATAAATTTGGAAACTTGCTTGCAAAAGATTGCCTAGGAGACTACGTAAGCCCGAAGAATAGCCTGGGGGTATAGTAGTATAATTACCCTAAAAAATTAATGCAACAATATGTATACAAATATGTACAGAGCAGTTGCAAATATCATGCTTAAGAATAATTTTTTATAGAAGTAGAATTTTCATCACAAACTTACCGCCATTATTTTGGATACCAATTGCGAAAGATTTGAGGCCGCAAAACTTTTCTTTAGGCAACACATTTCACCCAGTATACAACCTAATGCCCATATATCACTCTTATGGTCATACTCCTTACCCTCGCACTAAACAGGACTCAGTTTAGTATAATTTTATAAATAAATTCATTAACGACTTGAACTTACCATCTCCGGGCTGAAGTAATATGGCGTACCTAACACGGTTTGTGCCAACACTTTTGTATTCATTATTTTTGATATGCCAAAGTCTCCGATCTTTACAATTCCTCGTTTGTTCAAAAACACATTTGCAGTTTTCAAATCTCTACCAAAAGATAAGTGTATATATATATATATATAAATTTGAACATTGAATGAAAACTTTTATACTTATAGGTGACTCTAAAGAAAATCTCTTCTACCAATGTTATGTCATTTTGTCCTGATGTTGTTGTCAAAGTTATCGGCATAATACAATATTTTTTTGTTTTAAATCGACCATATAAACTCTAATACTTTTAGATTGGAGAAATAACTAAGGTTTAGGAACATTCGAAGCTGTCTTCAGTCTAAAATTTTTATATTTAAATTAACTATGCTTACGTCAATCAATACATACATATGAAACCTGGGTAGCAAATATGGCGATATATTCAATTTAAAGTTAACCGGACTGACAAACAACTGGTTAAATATATGGTGGATTATTATATAAATCTTCTCTGACTTAAATGTTTTTATCTTATTCCGCTGACATATGTATCTCTACTATCTAGTTTCTGAGGACCACCACTATATTGTCTTATATTGGTTATAGCGATTTTTAAATATATTAAAATTTAGAAGGTCCATCCGTGGTGTATTAACCGTTCGTAAAAGTATGGAGTTAGAAAAATTATATTTTTGGAATGGATTAGATTAGATTTTTGGAATAATTTTTCATAAATTTTTTAACAATTTTGGAGTACAAAAATTTAGTTTTAAGTTTGCAGATACATGTATGCATGTATAGTATATTTTCCAAGATCTTACCGATGTAAAATATTTTCAGAATGCATGTAATTTATAGCACTTGAAATCTGCTCAAAAACTGCAACGATATACCGTTCAGAAAAATAATCTTTCATCAGACGGTCCGCTATAACTTGCGCCAGGGTGCCCCCATCAGCGTATTCCATTTCAATTAGCAGGGTGTTGTCTCTAATGAAGCTACCCAAATAACTGAAAAAAATCCGTAAATTATATTGATATCGTATTCATAACAGACTTGAGAGAGAAGCCGCAGAGTCTTATCTTTAAAGGCCTTATAATAATGTTTACCAATACTGAAGAAAATTTAATATAAAAAGAAGGACAAAAACTTGACATGCTTAAATGTTATGAGATCCAACAGATTTTTTCCACTTGTATAGAATTGGTTACTTATGTATATATACAGATGTAACCATCTATTTTTAATTTCCATTGMAGTTTTTAATAAAACTGTTTATAATTCCAGTCCTTTAGTACGACATTGTTAAACAGCTTGTTAGGACTTGAAAGTAGTCGTTTTAATTCGAATGATATAAGAAACTTAAGAAGGAAAAAGGTAAAATATTTGTGAAGAAGGCGTCATAAAACTCAGCAGACATTTTGAGACGAATATAATATGGTAATTTTCAAGTAAAAATTTCGGGCATTACTTGTGACTCCTTTAATAAAATTATGTTAACATTTAAATTTAAGTTTTAGCAGCTTCCAATAATCGCTTTTCAATCGGAATTTCGTACGTTTTGAGAACAAATTTTGTTTGGTGGATTTAATGTGTAGTTATACAATTGCATRCGTACACATCCAAACGTTACGTTAAATACCTAATTATATTCGGATGGTGGAGTTTAGAAAAGACTTCAACCTCGTTCATAGCCAAATCTCTTTCTGATGGCGTCAGGTCTGCTAAATTAATTTGTTTGAAAACAATGTGATGATTATCAAATTTGCGTCGATATAATATAGCCACTCCAAACGAGCCTGTAAATATTGAAAGGAGTAAAACGCCTTGTCTACGTACCGAACATGTATTAAAGGTAGTAACTGATAGAAAATAGATATGTTACCTTGTCCGACCACTTTAATTTTTTCATAACTACTCAGCCCTATCCGATTTATACTTGAAGAATGAAGTGCCTTGGGTATGAGACCGGTTATCGATGTATTACAAATTTGTGTTCCTCCGTTTTTATTTAAAGTTTCATCTTTCAATAATGCTGATACCGAAGATAAGGAGTTCGATATAGTGAAGATTTTTTGCGGCGTGACTCCATTAAATGTGGCCCGCTTTTTTGACCTCGATGCAAATGCATTCATGGAGGAATTACTTGATGCTGAGGAATCTGATATACGCCCATTAAAAAGCGGCAAAGAACTGGTCTTAGCTTTAATTTTTTTCATTTTTATGTACAATCCGAAGCTTGTATGTTCATTTCCATCTACCGCTACCTGTACTGGTTTTTGGACGACCCACTAAAACTTGAGGGACACTGGTCAGAGAAAATGTTGTGGTCAATTTTGTTGCCTAGCAACACGAYCTGTTATACGGCTACGAAGCAGCATTTGTCAAATTTGTCTAATTTGTCAAAATCTATATGTTCATATATTGTGTATATTAATTGGGATCTATGTACAAATAAAAAGTGTCCTTAGTCGTAGGGCTTGTGAATGCATGTTTAGTATAAACATAAATGCTGTGAAAAGGCGGCTTTCATACATACTTCCTCATCTCATTCAACACCCACTTAATCGTAAACAAATATACACTTGATGATATTTACCTCGTGAATATTTTAGTTGATGGCTTTTATTTTGTTGTTATTGAAATTATTTTTCTAAGTTTATTGTGGATTGTAAATTTTTTAAAAATAAATCTTAAGTTTACTTCAAGTCGACTAGTAAAATTTTACTTAACTAATACACCAAATCGTTTTACGTTATATTTCATGGATTGTTTAAACGAGGTTATGAATTATGTCCTTTTGAAACAATGATTTCGTATATGTATGTATGTAGTAGACTCTGAGCTGTAAACATAATTTGAGACATACTAACTCATGTACATACGTATGTGTCACATTTCAAGCAGACATAATATTATATATGTATACATATGTCTATACTTACTCTATCGTAGTTCACATTATAAAATTTATATAGGTTGAGAATATACATATACACTTCAGTTTCTCGTAATTCATTAGTAAGTTTCTCCAAGCATTTAAATTATTTAGTTTTGATATTGTACACTATGGGGTAATTGACTACGATGCTATTGGAAACGGAATCTTCGCAAAGGCAGGCATTAACAGATCAGTGCCTTCCGCAGCATAATTTAAATTTACACATCGCTTCTATATATATAAATACAGCTTATTATTATATACACATAATCGTCATCACCTAAAATGCAATACAACGTATAATCAAAAAATAAGAAATTGAGTTTTTTATTGATTAAGATTTACTACATCATATTACATATACGAGTATATACAGATATAACCAAGTATTAACCAAAACTGAAATTTTATTTCAATACGAGTAGAGTCTATTCATTCTTTCGTTCAATTTTCCTTCTACTGTAAACTTAAGAAAGGTAATGTTACGTTAGTTTGCATTTTAGGTAACACTATTTAAATGGGATTTCCACATAATCAAAAATTAAAACATGTCTAACTGTCTGTAATCATCATTAGGTGGTCTCAATTATATATTCCTTTAATATATAAAGGGAATGATTAATTTTAACTACTTAACTATAAATCACGTATTAAATTAAGACATTGTATACCAATTTTGCTCATGAAACTACAATACATATGTAGGTGTTCTTCTTTTTTTTAGTTTGCCGAATATATTTTACTATCGAAGATGTTAAAGATTTATTTTATATCCAATTTAAAGTTGTCAGCTCGAATAAAATTAGTTCTTACTTAATACTTGCTTTGCCTTCATTTATTAGGCGCAATATGAAGTACTCGCTCGCTAACGATTGCATGCTATTTGGCTTTATGCAATTTACATACATATGCATGTATAAAACATATGATATTAGTTCTAAAATATATTGTATTATAAAATTTTGAAATAGCTTATAACTTTTTAATTTTAGTTCCGATKGCATTACTACAACGGCCTTAAACTATTATCATGTTATATATGTAGCTGTAATGTGAAACTGCGTCATTAACAACCATATTCCCACTCAGGAAAATTGTAATTTGCCTCTTACATGGAGGCAAGTTCAAGTTGTTTTGCTTTTATACTGCATCTCAGTGCTAGCCACATTTGGCCAAGTGTCCCSATAATATTTACGATAGCATGTCTGTATGTATGTATGTATGTAGTATGCATGGAAGTACATATTCCACTACAGCACTCTATTGGACGTATATTTCCTTACGAGTATGTGGAATATTTCTGTTCGGTTTAGCAGGAACAACGATTACCTTCGGAGAGACTGGCCAAACTAAAAGTACCTAGCCCGTTAGAGCCAGGAGATTTTTTATCCTGGTTTTTATCGTCRTTGTCAAAGTTATCCCCCTAAAAGTATAACAAAATTAATATTTTATGAAGACTCTGAGTTCATTTAAAGTAAAATTCTACCCGACGTTCACGTTGCTCTCTGATCTTTCGTGCCAGTGCTAGAAAAGCCTCCTCAATATTAATGTTACATTTACAGGATACTTCAAAGAAGGGCATATCAAAATTTTCAGCAATCTAATATTTTATTTATAATTGCACAATATTAAACCAATGGAAATATACACACGTCTTAAGTATTAGTTTATTTAGTTGTACTAAAAAATTTACTTTTAACTTACTTTTTCGCCCCTTTCTTTGTCGACCGCCCGTTGAGTAGCAGAACTTTCACATTTATTGCCCACTAAGACTTTGACAACATCCGGTGACGCATTCTATTCAAATGAATACAAAAAAAATTATTCGTTTGTATATTTATTATTTACTTCAGCGTGTTCTTATACAATTGTATATCCTTATTAAGAGCATTTCAAGTTTTCATTGCCCTTTCTGTATTACATTTGAGACTATTTTTACATTAGCATCGCAAGAAAAAAAGTGAAAGTTACCATGTTAAAGTTTTTTTGCAAACCGGGACTTATCGCCATATCTATACATAATAAGCATTACAACACTTTCTCTGAATTTCCTCACATTTTTATTTCACAACAACATATTTAGTTATCACTTAAAATTATTGTATCGAATTCAAAAATTGATTGTCATCTAAGTACTTGCTTTTGGAATGAAAATGAAGCCACGTCCGCCTCGTCTACTTCATATTAAACTAGAGAAGTTATGGGTTATAAATGGATGTGTCAAAAATGTTCCTTCGTATAACCATTACATCAATTTCCAAACAATTGCATGGGACAATAAGTGAGATGTCTCATAGACTGAAAACTGAATACACCCTCATATATTCCGCAGATTTATTTCCGCTTCCCCGAATACATATTATGGTATATCATATATCTGGGATGACAAGTTTTATATTTCTCTTCATTATTTATTTGTCTAATTTCTTTTTATGCGTACATTAGTTTTATAATGCTTGTAGTGATAGACGTGCGAATGCCAATTTAAAGAATATTACCCACTTACACCTATTTACGAAAACTTCGTACCATTTTCTAAAAATTAATAAACATTATACCCGTGTTGTCCGTTGCCCTCTTGGGCATTTAAACCTTTGATTATTTTATGAGAATTTATGTTTGCAATTGTGCACACATGTATGAATATTTATAGTCGTATAATTAACAAGACAAACCTCTTGGATATTTCGAAGCCAATATGATAAATTGTTGTAACTCTCCAAATTGGTCACATCATACATCAGTAGGATACCCATTGCTCCGCGATAATAGGCCGTCGTTAATGTTCGAAACCTTTCTTGTCCAGCTGTGTCCCAAATTTGTAACTTTATTGGCACACCATCCAAATTGATTAATTTCTGCTTGAAGTCGATGCCTAGTGCAAATATTTATAGATAATATTATTAGTTAAACAAAAAACGAAAYCATCCTTTCCTCATATCATGCAGTAATGGAAATGTTTTCCACACTCAATGGACAAACATATCTAACACTAAAAAGTGCTATCCATTTGTATTACAAGTACTAAGTAAAGCAAATTTTCACAATTTCAGAGAACTCCGATAAAATATATTTCGACACGTTTTAACATATTTAAAAACATGTCTGCGTATGTATATATAGACGCACTAGATAGCTCCAACTGTTTTCCATTATCTCTTTTTTCTTATCGCACACTCTTTTGTAAAGAGATCAAGAAATGCAGTCTAAGTACATATATATGTACATAATTTTTTGGATAACTTTTGAATTAATGCAAACCCTCTGAAAATGAGATTTGCAAAAATCTGCATATTCAAACCATTACTACTAAGTTACCTATAGTGGAGATGTATGTGTCGTAGTATTTTTCGTCACAGTATCTATGGACAATACACGTTTTACCCACATTGGAATCACCTAGCACCAGAACTTTATACGTCGCCACAAAGTCCAAAGCCATCTCGATTTACGGTTTCAATGACTTTCCAGATTAATGCCTGGTTATTTGTCTATATGTTGTTTGCTTTACAATACGAAACAGCTCAAAAGGTCGTTGAAGATTTTATTTGCAAACTTTGTTCATTTATATATGTACATATATTGTATTATATTATATTCTTTATTGGATATGGACAACGCAATGAGTTATACTTTGCTTTCTTTTGCTCTTAGTATTATTTTTATCTTCGCGATTTAGAATTTTTTGGTGAATTTTATTGTTGAAAACTTGGAATGGAAATTGTTAGCAAGTCTTCAGTATACAGTATGAATCAGCATCATCAAACGGACTTATAAATGGATTCACGAAAAATCAATACAATCTTGACATATGAAAACAAGTCAAATGCAGACCAACTCCTAACCAACAGTTTGCTTGTGGAGTATTTGTGGAACGTGACAGACTTGTTCGAAATCAACGCCTGCGTTTTGTCAGGCATTCGGTTGAAGGGTTGTTATGCACATCTACGGGGTTGAAGACTGGTTGATTATTTGTTTACGATTTCTTTCCAACACAGATGTAGCAGTGAAGGGAATTTGTTATTCTCAAAACAGCTGAAAACATTCGAAGATTACGAAAGCAAATGAAAATAGATATGAATGTACATGTATGTATACACACCAATGCGAGTAGGTAGTAGTAAGCGTTATTTTATTCAGTGTGATATAATTTTGTTGAAATAGTCTCGTGTTGTGTTTTTAATTACTATATTATTAAGAAATATATGTACATATACCTTTGTAGAATACTAATACCACGCAAATAATAACGCAAAATCATATGCAACAGCCGTAGCGAGTGAGGAACACGACAAATTTTTATATTATTATATCTTATACATATTGTTTAAATGAGTTAAGCATCCACCCCCTCTTCCCGGTAAAACTGGCGCATCCTAATTCAACAGCAATTCACCACAACTGATGACACTACAACACACCTCACCACACCTGTGCTCCTACCCACCAAACAAAAAGGATACACAACGGGATAGAAGACATAAATCGCTCTACACAATTCGCACAAGTTAACATACACACTGAGCCGCGTCGACACCTACGTTACAATACAATTAAGTTCACAGCAGTCCTCTGCGATATGGTCGTCCATTACCTTGTGCAATCATTTCTTTTATTTTCTTGAACATTTAATAAAGTTAACTCTTAAAGGGTTTACTATTTCATCATTAAATAAAGTATCGTTCTTTGGCATAATTAATGGTTTAATAAGAACTAAAAATTAAGTGCTGAATGTTTCCCACTAAATTGGGCATAATTAGTCACATATGTATATAAAAATTACGTGTCACGTTTTTTGTCCACTATGATTCCTAAACTACTGAACCGATTTTAGTAAAATTTAGTACACTGTGTCCAGTTCGAACCAACTTAGAAGTTAGGATAGTAAAAACTATTCATAAATAAAAAATACAGTGAAAGCACTATGAAATGGACGCTCTATTAAGTGGACACATCCGTTAACCATGCACATGTTTCATGTTTATTAAGTACAATCTATTAAGCGGACAACTGTAGGTTCATAACCAGACATTGTGAAAGCAGCCTGAAATTCATTATTTTCTCCAATGAAATTTAYTTGTATGAACATATGTCAAATTAAACCTCAAGTATAATCGCTTGAATTCTTATACCGACAAAAGCGATTTCGTCTTTATTCGTAATAAAATTATCACTACATTAAATAGTTTATTTTATGAATAATAGTATAAAATGTATACCACGGCAACGCGTCGCCAGTCCACTAGTATATATATTATATATAATTTATACATATATGTTTGTTATATTAGTATATTTTAGATTAAGGCAATATCATTTGACATTCGTTTCAAGAGTGAGCGTAATAGAATAATTATGGAAGCAATGTTAGCTAATTTTCTACCAGTTACGAGTGTAGGCACAGAGATATCTATCCAACGCAAATCATGCCATGCCAGATAACATGTGCCGTGATTATTCTATTCAATTCACTTCAGAGTGAATTCACTTCAGAACTAAAATTTAGTTTAACCACTAACCCGCTATTTATTTGAAAACTGAAATTATAAAAAAAATATATACTGTTACAGCAATACTTTTCAGGTAATTATTTTCATTGTGCAAAATGTCAACAAAACGATTTTATGAATTTGGGCTATATGGCGTATGAGTAACATTTTCATTGTTGCTTTAAATGTACAATAACTATTAATGCATTGATGACGATCGTGTTTCTTAAAGTGTTCAAATATTGTACCTTTTTGTTATTTAGAAATAATAATAATAGTTTGCAAAAGTCGGCAAACAGACAACTAATATACATATATATGTATGTATATACATATAATAATATTGAAAAATATAGTTGCAGAGTGCTTTAATTTGGGCATTAAAAAAATGGAACAAGCTACCTTTTAGTGATGTCATTTTGTTTATAAAAATGTTATTATAGTTTGGCGATCCACTAATTCAAAATAAAGTAGAACACACGCATGTGTGTATACATATGTATGTATATTCATTTYCATTAATATTCGCATATTATAAAAGATACTATGCGTGTGAATGAATATGTAGTTGTACATGTTTGTACACATACATATGTATGTATATGTGATAGCTATATGGATACTTTAATATATGTGGTTTTAATAAAATCATTAATAGGTGAAAATTCTAAAACCAGACAAATATCTACGACTCAGTTTACCATCTACGTACTATGTAAACATACAAGCATACATACATATATAGCCCATTACATATGTACACGGTGTTTCCATATATTCATACATTTCAGCAACGATATGCTCAACATTGCACAGTGGGGGAAACGGCTGATTTAGTGGCAAATTATTTATAATTTCAGAAAAACTGATGCTATTTTTGTACCGCTAATTTTTTTAATCATCTATGAAACTTTCTTCCGATTGTAAGCCGCTTTAGTATCAATTCTCACAATGTTGGTTAGATTCTTACAGGTGTCTATAGATCAATTTTTCAGAAAACCAAGCGAAAAAAATCGTGTTTTTTGACCCACCCGATATATAGAAATATAACTTTACAGAGTTTTGTTTGCTTTCGAAGATATAAGAACATCGTTTTTAATTTTCCTGCCCGCTTTTTTTTTTTTTGTGTTAAGTTTAGGTCGTCCAGTATTTGAGTTTAGATCCACCACTTTAAGCTCATTACCAATCAATTACTTATTGCTTGCTTCAATATGTTTATACATATATTATATTTCTATTACAACAGAAGTGTTAGCGCATACATTGCGATCAGAATTCGTTTTATCAAGAATGAATCTACAAAATTATAATACGTGCAGGTTTATAAGAACTTTATTAAAACGCAAAACAATGGATATTTTAAATATACCACATATATGYACATACATACATATGTACATACTATTATATAATAGTRTATTAAGACTGAACACGAGATTAGTTTAGATGGGAGTAAAAGCCTTAATTCAAATAATAAATTGGTTATTTACCCAGCTTATGTATGTACATCTGTTGTACATGCAATGCACATATAGCAGTTTATAGTACATATACCATATCATCCATGATATACCAACATATGTATATGCTGACACGAATTCACTAAAGCGAAACTGACATGAAAAGAAAACAAGAAAAAAAAAGAGAAAAACAAAAAGCCAGCAAAATATTACCCCTTCATTGGCGTTTTCTTTATGCAGCTGTAATATCTTCAATCAATTATGAGGTTAAACAATGCACAGCAAAGAATACAAGAATATAGGTTCGAAGCCGCCAACAAGATGACGCTGTCGATATGGGTTTTACGAAATGGAACTTTCGGCGGCGCATGCCAAGTTGTTAAAGTATTCCAGATGAGCAATTTGACGCAAACAGATTGTCTAAGCGCTTATTCCCCTTTATCTGTGTAAATACCTCAATCATCACACACCAGCGCATACCAAGGGGACCCTCACTTTTGACAAGAGAATTTCTCTCAAGAGAGCAAGAATGTGGAGCGGTATAAGTTTACTGTTACGAGCGTGGAGATGACATCACTTACAACGCCAAAGACAACGAACACCAGAAAATATAAGAATATTTGCGAAAATCATACACCTTGTCGACCTTACTCAAGTAATCTACCTACGATCGACCTCTCCAATTTTATACTCCTACTCGCTATATACTATACATGTATGTATCTGCAGATGAGGCAAACAAGTATTGAATACTTTATATTGCTTTTATTTCGCATTTTAACCAACGTATGTATGTATATAGATATGTACATGGGTATACATTCACGTATACCTTTAGATACATTTAATATCTATACGCTCATGAACACAAGTACGAACAAATGTACTCGCAACTACCCACCAATGTCGTGATATAGTATAGAGCGCGGAAAGTGGAGAGTGTATTTTCTGCGATTTACTTAAATTATTGAGTGGGTACACGTTAAGAAAGCAGAGGTATGAAATCCACAAATTAATAATACTTACCTTTTGTACTACAACAACAACAAGAGATTTCCCTCTCCATTGTATATACATATTAGCTGTTTTCGGTTCACCAAATCTTGTAATGTATCGAAGGATTGCATATCAAGCAGTTAAAACAGTTTTATAGGATTTAGGATTAGGAGTCGACAATCGAAGAGAGCGTAGACCGTTTGTAAGTAATAGAAAGATCGATCTACCAGGTAGTATTTTTTTAAGATTTTTTCAGTGTAGCAATAAATACTAACACAACATCAAGCTGCCAACCAGTTGGAATAAAGCTAAAAGACGCATACACACATATGTGAGTAAATACACACCTACACAGATAACATTAAGGTATTCGTATCTGCGAGTGGGTCGGTGTCTATAAGCAAGTGAGAACACACGTACACAAATGTTGAATGTGTGCTAGCAGTTAGCGGCTAGATGCCAATATCGTAGCAGACTACTACGCCACAATGAATCAGTCTTGTGAATATTCGCGAACTATGCGGTCGCCATATGATGATTTTTCAATCGTGTCGGATAGCGGTGAAGAAGGTAGAGGGAATAGCCACAGCTATGGAAACAAAAATTATAGTTGTACCATACCATATCACGCGCGTGAAAATTCGTTGCCATTTAGTTACGGACAAATAAATAAGACGCCGACCTCATTGCGTAGTGTTGGTCCATCTAATGGAATCCATCGCCTTCAACATGGCGCTGATGCTGGCTCCAGTGATGCTATCGATTTCGGATTCGGTTCAAGTTCAGTGCCATCCAAGGCGGATGAAAATTACAGTATGGACGCGAATCTTTATTACGGTGCTAATTCTAACAACGGTTTAACGGCCACATTAAGATCGACAACAACACCAACTGCAAAAAAGTCGGCACAGGGAAGTAACACAGACGCAATAAGTACGATCAAAGCTCAACCACGACTTACGAGTCCGATATTGGTACGTAAAACGCTCAATAGCCGATCGCCTACGCGTAATGGAGCTACCAATACCAACACTATCGCCAACACATACCATTACAAGTATGGAAACGACGATGACAATATTTTCGGCGCTCCCGTCGGCATCAGCAGTAGAAGCCACAGCAACACTTTAAAAGGCAAATTCGACAGTGACAATTATGATTACAGTAACGATTTCAAACACAATAACGACAACAGTAGCAAAAATCATAGTTTCAACAACAACAAAAACAAGGGCAACAAATTTGGTATTGACGACACAGTCGATGGAAACGTGAATGTGCGGAAAATCCATCCACGCAATGACTTTGAGGAATTATTACGCGAACGTCGGGAAAAGGTTTTCCGTGAACATTACCGATCCGTTGGATCAACTCAAGCTGTCGATGGCATCAATGGAAGTAGGTTTCAAACTTCGCCTAACTCTCAGAAWTTCAACTATGATTTCGAATTTCACTTAAATGTTGACGATGCACCGCCCCCACCACGTCGTGCTCACACTATGGACCGATCGTCGCTACAACAATTACAGCAATATCGTACTCGCGACATTCCAGTTGCCAGCGAGGTCGTTACGCCAACCGTCAATTCGTCGATTGTGGAACGTAATTACCACACAATTGGCTCCTCTATTGCTAATAGAAAAGCAAGCGAAACATGCGCTTCTACTCAGCAAAATTCACTAGTTCGTCAACAAATTCAACCACAGCAACCACAGCAACCGCAACATCAACAACGACGTGAAATTGAAACGCTTTATAGTACAGTGGAGAAACGTACGTCAAAACCTTCTCCAATACAAACACAACAACCGCTTCGATCAACAGAGTACTCCCCATATGGAAATGGAAACGTGAGTACGGCTAGTTATGGATTTGACAATCATAACGAGTATGCTGCAAATAATCGGAGCTCATTGGGAGCCGCCGTAGTTGCACGCAGCCGCAATGACGTGTCACCACCAATTTATGCTACTACCACTAAGCATATCACCACAGCTAAGAAAACATATCACAACCACATTGTATCCGAACCAGAATTGTCTTTTAAAGATCGCACATTGGGGACTTCATTGTCACTGCCAATTGACTCTGCTTCGGCTGGCGCTGTGAATGAATTCGAACCGGGTAAAATTTCGCCATCAATGGTCGCACGCCCCGAAACACCAGCATTTCCAGTTACTCCACGTACACCACATGGTGTATACAATGGACAAAACAGTCCTACGGGCTATTCASCTAGCCCAATGTTACAACAAACAGATCTAACGAAAGGAAAATCAACACTAGACTTGCACAACTACTCTTCGGAGACAATTTACCGTGCAAGTTGCCGCCCACGCCTCGACTCCAACATGTCAATGGTTAATAGTGAACCGCAGGAAGTTGCCGCACATCTGGTCAAATTTGCCAAAGATTCGTCGAAATACTGGTACAAGCCGAATTTGTCGCGCGAAGAAGTTGTTCAGTTGTTACTACATGCTGAACCAGGTACATTTATAGTTCGTAATTCCACAACATACAAGGATAACTATGGTTTAGTGGTACGTGTTTACCAACCACCCCCAAATAGTGAACTTACAGGCCAACCCGACGATTTAGTGCGCCATTTCCTCATTGAGCCAACAAAACACGGTGTACGCTTGAAGAGTTGTGCCAATGAACCAGTTTTTACATCACTATCAGCTCTTATCTATGAACATTCAATCAACAAATTAGCCTTGCCCTGTTTGTTACGCATACCCGAACACGATTTGATACCATCGTTAACCGAACCGTCTAGTGCTCAAAAGCAATTGCTAACCCAGGGCGCAGCTTGCAATGTACTGTGGCTGTACTCATGTGACACTGAATCATTAACTGGTGAAGAGGCAATCCGTAAAGCCATACGACAATTATACTCCCAAGATCGACTGCATATGCCAACAGAAGTGCACTTTAAAGTCACTCAACAAGGAATTACCATCACCGACAATACCAGGAAAAAATTCTTCCGAAAACACTATCCCGGCGATAGCATCTCATTTTGTGCCATAGATCCAGATCATCGTCTCTGGGAAATCCGATTGACGGAAGAAGAAGGCAGTGACAAAAATAGTACCCCGGTCGGAGCGCTAAAGAAGACAATATTTGCGTTTGTGGCTCGTAGCTCGCCAAAATCGAAAGACAATCAATGCCATGTATTTTGTGATTTAGACATTCATCAGCCAGCTTCAGCCATTGTTTCCTTTGTCAATAAAACATTGCCAACTGAGAAAGAACGTAATTTTGTGCTTTGAAAAAAGATGAATACGGAGCCCAGATAACTTGGAAAACCAACAAAGTAAGAAGAAATGTTATTTCCACATTAGTTGAAAGTGGTCGCACCAGTGCTCGTGTATATACATATGTACATATTTATATTTTTTGTTATTATAAATACTAGTGCAAGAAACATACACATTTTTAGAATATTACAGAGAGATCTCGTTAGACAGTCGTCAAAATGACCTAAATCTTCCTTTGCTTAAACACTCTGTATAAAACTATATACATACATACGTAGGTATGTATATAATTGTATATAATTCATGTTTGAAAAGAAATGTGTTATACTTGTACTCTTCTCTAGTCAAATTTCGGTCAATATTTCCTAATTAATTTCTATTTGTTTATAATTTTCAAGTTGCAGGTGTGCATAACATGTACATGTGTACACATACATTCATATGTGCACGGATGGTAAAAGATCATCTTAAAGTAAAGTAATGAGGAAATAAAGAAAATAATAAATTGAATAATGCTTCAGCGTACTCGACTGGATTGTAAATGTTCAAAGTTTTATTAAATATCTAAACATTTACATTTTAATTTACCTATATTCGCTCGATTTGATCAAATGACTACTGCTACATTGATGATATAAATTTTAAGTTCACAACTTATTTTTTAGAAAATTATATCCACCGCATACCGTTCGTCATTATTTGGAAATAGTGATTAGAAATTATATATGGTCATATTCAACATTATGTGTATATGTATGCATGCAATGCAATATGTAATATTTATAATGTACATACATATATGCACATGAATTTTAAACTTTGTATATACTTAAAAAACATTCTTTCAAAACAAATAATTCAAATATAATTGATTTTTTTCCCCTTTTTTAATTTTCACTACAGTTATCCAAGCATTTATACACCGATCAAGATTCCTTATGGCCAAATAAATAGAGAGGGAAATCAGAAATTCACATATTATACACATGTACGTTCTTTAAAAAAATTGTACCTGTAATATAACTGAAATGACGGGGCCTTAATATCAATATATGAGGTATTAGCACTCGAACGTCTACACTAAAAATTTATTCAGCTCTAAATCAACTAAAATGATGTCCCAGTTTAGTTTAAATATATGAATATTGAATACTTCAATATTATTCATACATATGTACATATGTAGATATGTATATGACAGTGTATACGTATGAGCTTGTGTATGCAAGTTTGTATGTATGCTCATATTTATTGTATTGTTTATAATTTTTTTGTACATAGCTTTCATTCTAATTATATTTGACATTGTGCCTTAACATTAATATTAATCAAATCGAATAAATCCAACACTTAAAATAGTAACAAAAATTTAAACATGTTCATTTAAGGGTACTTACATATGTATGTGTTCGTTTGCCAAAAAACTAAAAAAAATATATGTATGAATTTAAGTTCTAAAATGAAGTTCTAGCCTTCGTTTAAATCCGATGTTAGGGGTCATACTGATATACTGATTTCGTTGCATTCACGCAATTATTGTCAGAGTCAGAGTATTGTGGAAATTACTTTTCAGAGCTGCGCATAGTTTTTTCTGATCTTATGTATGTAGAAGGCGCACAATGAATACATCTAATATCTCACGRAATTGTTTAGCACAAACTTAATAAGAGCTCTTGAGGGAAGAAGGTTAAACCAAAACTGAGACGAAACAGTATTTGATATTGACCCCAAGCTCATAGGTGTTTTTGTTTTGTTTTTTTGTTTTTTTGATTTTGGCAATTTTTATGTTATTGCTACATTAATTAGATGCAGTTGGATGTACAACCATGAATGAAGTCATAATGATAATAGAGGCATGATGTCATGCCTCTGGCCCGAAAGACGCGCAAACAGTGAAAGTGTTTAAAGTAAAAGCACTAAATAAAAAGTGCCCCAAAATTAAGCCAAGATTTGAATTAATTATATATATAAATAAAAACGAACGCAAAATTTAAATTTACCAGCATTTATGTACATATGTAGTAAAATGTTGATTACCATAACCGGAGAGTGGACTCTTCAGGACGAGCCGAGCGGAAACTCGCACCAGGTGGCGTGCTTCTTAACTGCCATCTCTAAATAATAGCGGCAAATTACTGTCGAAAATTCCTCATGCCAATAGATTTTGCATTATTCAAGTACGAATAAACGCGRCAGCAACAATGAGCGCTGAAAAATCATTTTTTTACCGCGTGTTAAAAAGTAAAGTTGGCTTCAGAAAACGAAGAAATTTAAATTTTTTTTAATTTCCTGACGAGTGATGGTTAATTCTTGTACAAATGAATGAAAGTACTATTAATAAATTAATTCGTTTTCTTTGAACAAAGCTTGGTGGCCGCTGTTCGAAAATTTCACACAAAATATGTTCGGAATAGTTTTTTAACTTCGACAACTGTTAAGATTATTTTGATTTTGAAATGGCGCAAATTCAAATATTGCGTTAATTTTGGCACGCACGCTATAAGTTTAGTTAAAATGTATAACCACAAAATTTTCCAAAATATTTAAATTATTAACAAATTATACCTTATATCCGCTTGTGGCAGCGTAATAACAAGGCGTCATCCTTTACTAAGTATATGTATGTATACGTATTTTATATAGTTTTTACAGTAGGTATCCAATTACCAAATTCCGATGGTTCATAAATATTCACCAAAGAAAGGAACACGAGTACATGCGTGACGTCAGCGAAAAGCTGACCGCTCAAATGATATCCACTATTGCTAGATGCTCAGTTTATTCCTTTTTCTTTGCAAACAACTCTAATTTTATTACAGCCAGTCACATTGAAAGTCAGGCAAGCACAAAACAAACTTTCTACGATGTTCAACTGGACCTTTTCCCTATTGTTAAAAATCAACAAAAATGTCAAAGTAACGTAGAATTAACCGCATGAAACAAAAACTAAGCAAAGCTATCTTTTCACATTAAAAGTGGGGCTTATTGTWTTTCTATAGAACGTAACGTTAAATATTCCGTTATATCTATCCGAAACTTAATTAAAAGCCTGAAGACTTATCATTTGATTATCGTAAGTCAATCAGTGCAGTTTAAAATAGTAGTTTTATAAATGTCGCGAAATAATGGCAGGCTGCACTTCGAAGAACCAGTTGAGGAATGSATTAGAAGAAGATTGGAACAAGATTAGTCCGAATATAAGTATGTAAAAATCTGGTTGAATCAATGCCGAGAAGAATGCAAGCAGAAGACAACGGGTGGTGCGACAATATACAATATTAAAAATAATTTTTTTCTTTTAAATACTTAAATAAATAGTTAATTTTTTGAAAGTTGTATACATTATTTGATACTTTTATTTTGTTTTGTTACTTTTGGAATTCGAATTTGGAATTTGGTAGACCACATACTAGAATCTAAAAACATAAACAAAAATTTAGAGAAAAATCGGAAAGCGTTGTCATCAGCTGCTACCCAACGAAGGCGAGAAAGATAYAGTCTTCAATAAAATTAGCAAATCAACCGCGAAATGTCATACATATATAAGCATTATACATACATATAYGCTTAAATTAATGTACATATGCACATATATAAAAGGAAAGTGCAAAATTCCTACAACGAGAACGTGAATATCATAAATATGAGCTATTGAGATCATAGCTCATAAGATACGTATGTACGTACGTATAAATATGTACATACATATGTATATAGACATAATACAATAGACGCATAGAAATATACATTTGTAACTGTTAGAAATATATGTATATACATACATATGTGAACTGTAATTAGAAATCATTCATACGCCTGCGCACTGGCAGCATTGCCTCAGTTCCATTACATGGATATACATACATACTGCTTACACAGAGTATACTTATATGTACATATATTTGTACTTATTTATACGGATGTAAAAATTATGACCATTTGAAGTAAAAAAATAACATCGTATTATCAGAAAATTTAAATTTCCGAGTTAAATTTATTGGTATGTAGTAACACAATTCTCGTACCTACCAAAAAAGCAATTAAGAGCACTATGTGCATAATACATATCGTCACCTGAAATKCAAAAAAAATCCTATAKAAAAAGGGGAGATACGTTCCATGTCATCTGAAAACCGTATAAGATTAAATAAAGTACTATATTTACTTCGAAAAACCGTGTAAAAAATGTTGAAAACTATAAAATTTCAGATATGCATACAAATTATATGTTAATATGGMATTTTATTGAGCATTAAAACTTAAAAAACATAATTCATACAGGTGAAAAATTGGTAGATTAGGCAAAAAATTAGAATAGAAATAAGGAAAAAAGATTTAGATTGCTACATAATTATTCGTCGCTACTTGATAACAAGCGCAATTGTTTGTGACGAACTGGACTAAAGTCGGTATCATCGCTGGAGATATCCATTTCAACAATGTCAATATCGTGCGGACGAAATATGTAGGTAAGAGTTATCGAATAAGAGGATTTCCAAGTTACTACTATGTATGTTCATTTCAGCAATGGTGCTAAGTGTGGGAAAAACAAACATAATTACAAGACGGCGATTTAAAACCCGTAGTAGCTTAAACAATTTTCTACGATTCAGGAGCAACAGGAGTATATGTACATAATTAATTTAGCTTGTTTAACGTTTATGCAAAAATATACAAATTAAATTAATTCTCATAATTCATAATATAAACGTGTTCTTATTTGTTATTATTTTTAATATAAAGCAGATTTTATATAATATTATACCTACTTATGTAAACAACTAATGAAGTATTAAATGAATAAAGGAATATTGTAGAAAAATAAAAATAGTATTCCGAAGTCATGTGTTGAACACAATGCTCGCGACAGACAGCAAACGACATCTGTCAAATATTAAAAAACACACGTTCTTAAAGACAGACCTATTTTGATAGCTACACGACTGCAGGCCGACAGTTGTCGTTCTCGCTAACTTCAATATTTTCTTATATTTGCCAACGACAGTAGGACGACTGTAG